GACTCTGTGTTTTTAATTGTATTTATTTCTTTAGAGTAATCTCAGCTCAGATTACAAACCCAACATTATTTAAATATTTTTTCCAAACCTTAATTTAAAAATTGAAGTCTAGCTGACATCATCCAGTTTCCCAGTGGATCTTATAACTAGACTCAATTAGCATTTCATTTTTATTTTGTTTTAAGGTTAGATAATGAATATAATCAAGTAATATCTTCCACACAGGATCCCCAGAGTCTTTATCAGCTCTCAGCAATTACCATCTTTCTTATTAAAGAAGTCTGTGGTGGTTCAGAGATTACAAAACCACTTTACTTCATGTGAATATCAGAAATTGAAGTGAATGACTAGAATTCTTATTTAAAAATCTGCAATTTTTATTCTAGATAAGTAACTTTAAGTTAAGCACTTAGTTAAATTAAATATTCATTATTTGTAGGGAAATTAAGGAAAATAAATGAAGGAAATGAAGGAAAAATAAGTTTGAAAAGGGTATCAACTCTATTCTGACAGAATAGAATATTTATAATTTTTTAAATGCATCTATTTTTTTTGTGAATACTATATCTGTCATGAATGAAAAGCAGATATAACATGGATTAGGAGTAAATAATTCTTTTATGGCAACAATCATCATTTTATTTTATATTATTGACTAAAAAGTCACTGTGTATTACGAAGTCAAGCCCTGGAGTAATACAAGGAAAGTAAGTAATTTCAGTATTTTATTGTGTGTTCAAAGTAGTGACTATGGAATACTCTATTTAGTACATGAGACTATGTGATTAAGCCACCTGTGTTGTGAAGTTGAAACCAATTATTTGTGTAACTCATACTTAAAATATCAACGTAAATTTCTGACGGGATATATGAGTTTATTTATTCAAATAATACCATAAGCAATAATAATCATAAAAATATTTTTAAACGTTTAGTTGTCATGAACATTTTATTGTTGTTGTTGTTGTTGTTGTTGTTGTTGTTGTTTGGTGCCGTCGAGTCGTAGATGACTCATAGCGACCCTTTGAATGAACAGCCCGAGCACTGTTCATACATAGAGTTTCCGGAGGCAAGCCATTTCGGAAGTGGATGAACATTTTATATTTAGTAAAAATGTTTATGTAAAATATATT